GCTTGGTAGTCTAATATATTTACTGTGACTCAGCTTCAAAATAACTGACACCATTACAGAGAACTCAGTATGGCAGCACTTTGTTAAAACAGATCTCCACCCGAGAGTAGAGACAATTTTACTTCACAAGTATTTCTTTTCTACAGCTCAGTCGGGAACCGCTGGAGCCCAAAAACGAAGCCAACATAGAAAGCCTCACAAGCTCACTTCCTACAGTGTCCACTTTACACTAATTTACGTCACTGAACGGGGCCCTCCCTACCAGTTTGTGCAATTTTTGTGTCTTTTGGGATATTTTCAATGGAAATATCTAACAAATAATATGGCAGACTGTGTGGCACAGAACATTTATGCTTTGGTTTTGTTGAGTGAAATTCTAGTGCCTTGGGTTATTTAACCCTATGTATCACTGTGTTGCACCTACACACTTTTTAGAAGCAGCTTGCTAACTAGGCATGGTAGGATTAACCGATAACTTAGCAGTTCAACAACTCGACCAAATACGGTCACTTCTGGCTCCAAAAGACAAACATGGTTGCAGCCAAATTGTTGATGTTGGGTTTCAAAATATATACAGTCCATGCTACAGCCCTATAAGGACATGGATACAATGCAATCATCTTTAAGATCTTTTTCCAGAGTTTCCTGACATGAGAATAAGCAAAATGGATTAACTAAAGCACCCTGTTTAAGTACACCAGCAGCGAAACTAGCACCAGAGAACTGAATGACAGCTTATGTAAACAGTACGCAGTACAGTATATTTATATTTATAAATGCCATGTAAGAAACTACACTTTGGTTTCCAGCACTTTTTGGTCTGCCAGGCGCGCAGAGAGAGGCCGAGCAGAGAGAGAGAGTTTGTTAAAGCCCAGAGTGGGTGTCTCACTTCCCCGTTTCAAATTCCTGAGGTTTCCAGCACTCTGGAAGGCCTGGAGCTAATTTGGCTTTCAGGCTTTCCCCTCTAATTCTTTGCGACTAATTATGGTCGTATTCCCGCAATTAAACTGATAAACTCTGCTGAGCTTGGCAAGGATACCCCGGCCCCTCCCCGGCAGCTTAGCGCACCACCCCTCTCCTCTTCGCTATCTTTCTTTCTGTTGCTTCTTACTGTAGTAAACACACTAAAAATAAAGTCAACCTGAATTCTTCGACAATGTCTGTCTCCTAGGCAGCAGTATTTACAGCCTCTGGTGACAATGCCAGGAACACTGAGAGGAGCGTCCAGAGGTCAGACAGATGTTGTGCATGTGGAGATTTGAAAAGTTATGTCTGAAAAGCCTAAACAGTCAGAAGGGATATTACTCTGTTATCATTGAAGCATGATTGCAATTTAGGGACAACTTCATAAACTCATCACAGAGAAGTGGTCTGACGTATTATTTCTCAGATTCAAATGGATTTATTGTTTCAATTGCACCTGCCAGCACTGTCTCAGCTCATGCATACAGATAATATACCTTGGAGGAAAGAAAAACAAGGAGGTGGGCTGTCTAGACCGTGCGCTAGGATTCATTTGGATGTTTGGTAGGCTTTCAGTAAATATGTATGTGAATGTTTATGTCTTTGAAATGAAGCTCTGAATTCCAGTAAGTTGCAAAGGTGGTCTTTTCCTGAAAAAGTTTGTATTTTCTGTTTTTAATATGTAAATGTGCTTGCCTTCTTGGGTTTGTGTGTGTCAAAGATATGCGTTGTCCCTTGTGGGATATCTGTAGCCCCTTGTGGCCACTTTAAAACACAACTATACATTTGTGATGACGCACTACACTGGAAACCAGATACCTGGTTGTGTAGAGGAACCTGAGCATACTTGTACAAGCTTTGCAAAAAAGTGAGAAGTTCAGTCGTATTTAAAGAGTTAGTGCTTTGCTGTGTTTTACAGTTTATATTTTTGTGACGCAATAAGAATGAGCAACATTGAAGTGCATGTAATTCTCAACAAGTGAAACACTTTTAACAGAAAACATTTTCTCTGAAATTGAGTTGGACGTGAGGAAAGCTGAAAAAACTGAAGAAAACACGTTATATAGAGCAGGTAACGTTTTATCCCAACAGTTCCTTTGTTCCTTACACTCCTGCTTTTTTTCTTCTCCTTCAGGTATCTTTGGGCTCACAGGTCAGGTTTAAGCCGGAAAACTTCTCCCTCTTCACCCGCATACAGCAAGAGACCTTTCCCCACGGCAATGAGCAACTCCTCAACTGGGCCCAGAAGAAGTACAGGGCAGTCACCTCTTTCTCTGAGCTCAAGATGACTCAAGACATCTACATCAAAGTCGGAGAAGGTGTGCACCAGATTCCCAAAATTCCCAAACATAGCTCTGGGCCCCAAGGCACTCCTCCACCCCATTCCCCTTTAGCTTTCATAACTTTACTTAGCTTTTGTGTTTTAGCCCAGGCTAGAGGTTTACATGCACTACGCTAGAAAAAGATTTTCCTTCCCTCAAAAGACAGTCACCCTTTCACACTTTTTAACAGGCCGCCTGTGGTATTCCTAAGTTTTGCTTGCTTACAGCCTCAAGAGTTCTTGGAACCCAGAACAAAAATGGTTGTATTTCTGTAACATTGTAACATCTTTAAAAATGACTGGGTTCAGAATAAAGCCAATACATTAAAAAAACAAACATATATAGGCAAGTACTTTCTCTACAAGACAAAAAAATGATCCCATTTAAATTGGAAATGTCGCGCTTTTATCATCCTTATTTCAAACTTAAAATCCTTGTATCAGAGCAAGCAAACAAAGAAAAAAACACACATAGACGTTTGTCAGCAACAACTCTGCAGTTATCGTCAGTGCAAGGGTTTTTGTGTTTGACAAGAAATGAAAAATGTAGCTGTAAAACAAAAGTTATGGCAGCTGAACTACGAAGCCAAAATGATGAGTTTAGTACTTTGACTTACTGAATTTTGGGGCTTACAGACACTAAAGTAGTTGCTACTTTGCTGTTAATACACCAGAAGACTTTATAGTGAAGCCAAACAAACACACAGTACTGCTTTTCATTTTTTAACAAGGTGCAAGGTGTCATATTCTGTAGTTGGGGGAATAGGTGGTAGTTTTACCAGGAAAGAAAAAAGTTAGGAGGGAAAGATGAGGTTAGAAAGAATTAGACAAATTCTTTCTGGTTTTTTCAATAAGTTGAGGGAGGAGGGTTTCTCAAGTGAAGAGCACAGAAGGAGTCTCCGGGGTGGCTATGATTGATTTTCACACATGTTCAAGATGCAGAATTACAATTCTTTATTTTCTGCTCTCACATTGTGAACAGACAACACATCCGACTCTGCATTTCATCAGCTCTCAGACGAGATAACTTGTTTTTAATGAGAATCTATTACTACATGAATATAGAGCAAAGCTTGTGTCCAGAAAGAAATTAATGGCTCCACTAAGTAAGTTCTCTCTGTGTTTTGTTAGTTTCTGTGGAGAGCGGAGAGGTTGCTCAGCCTTCACGCTCTTGGCTGGTGTCATTAGGGGCTGTGGTTTGGCAAAACCTCAGAGTGCCATGATGTTTACTTCAAGTAAAGAGCTGTAGATTTCCACTCCTTCACATCTTCAGAAGTGTTTCATGAAGATGGAGAGATCCTCACTTTGCTTTCTAGCATGCCCACACTCAAGGTCTCTCCTCAGCTCTTTAAGTGCCACAAGAGTTCCGGAGAGGAAGGTGCCAGCCTTCAGTTTACACTCTGTCCAAAGTTCTGTTTGCCAAATAAGGAAGCATCTGTCTGTGTTTTCCCGTTGTGCTGAGAATGAGCACAACTTTTCATGTTAATGAATTTTTTGAACTGTTGTGAAATTGAAGGAAAAAACACAAGAAGTTTTGATGACTGAGCATGAATATTATTGTCCTGTTATTGCAAAAGAATTCTGGTAAAACATCTTGCTAAGATTTCCCACATAAAATCTAATTTCCCTGTTGATGGGAAGACAGATTATGCCAACCAGGGCACGCCCAACCTCGTTGGGCGCACAACCCAGGGCCTTGTTAGTGCTGCGAATAGTAGCTGCAGGGCTACAAGAGCAACTCTGCTGTAGATGGGAACAGCTGGGTTAAAGCAAATGTTCAGTCTTCCGAAGGTTTCGTGAGCAGGACGCTGAATTCGTCACTAGAGCAGGGGTTGCTGTTCTGTTGTTGACATCAGGCTCTGACCTCTCTGTGGTAGAGAAGTACCAGAAGCTATATTTCTCCTTTGCAGGATCAAAATAGTTTCACAGCCCCTCTGAACAGTAACACAAACTTTTCTCCACTTTCAGATCCACTGTCTTCTGACACCTGCAAGATTGATTCCAAGTTCCTGTCTTTGAACTACCTGGGCAGCTACAAGGAGCCACAGACATCAAAAGGCTGCGTCCTCTCTGTGCCCCACAAAGACAAAGAAGTCCACATCATTGAGCTCCAAGCCCCAAATGCCAGCAGGTGAGCAGCCAAGGCTGCAGAGGCCAAGAATACATGTTGTCACGGTTTATTTTTGAGGTCAGGATGCTCTCAATAATCTCTGTGGAGTTTATTTTGGATGGGAACTAACATGAAGGCGGAGGGGGGTTATGTTCACTTAGTGGTTTTCTTTTGAGGAAGAGATTTCAAAACTTGGTCTAACGGTCCAGTTTGCCAGATAATGTCCTCACTCCCCAGTGGAGTGATTATTCTGTACACCCAAAAGACAGAAAATCTGGGAATGTGTTGTATCTTGCTGCGGTGTTATCTGTTATGTATTGCATACGTCTGCATTCTTTTTTCTGGGAATACCTCCAGCTTTTTAATTAGTTGGCCAGACAAAGGCACAGTAACATTACGTAGACCTGACCATCTATTATTATTTGTTCTTTCTCTCTCCTTTTTTCCTGCAGTGCTTTCCAGGTGGATGTCATAGTTGATCTGCGGCCACTGAAGGAAGGTACCTGGGTACATCGAGATGTTGTCTTGCTGCTCAAATGCATTAAATCTGTGAACTGGGTCGTCAAAGTCCACAATGTGACGGGCAATGTGCATGTGGTGGTAAGTTGGCAGCATTACAAGAGACAAAGGCTTTCCATCAAATGATATCTTTTTTGCTCTCCAGGCATCACGGATGATTTTATATAGTTGATCACATATCACTGTAGGTGTCGCGGACAGAAATGTCAACACTTTACGCTGCTGGCCAAAGAAGTTGTCACAGCAAAAATGTGTGTTGAACTGGCGCCTGGTCCACGCTGGGGGACAGGGTGGGGATAACAGGTTAGGAGGAACTGTGAAATGTCATTGTGGCACCTCCAGGAATTGTCATCACTTTGAGAGAGCCAGAGGCTGGAGTGAAGAGGGCATCATATATTTTCAGAGCCAGGCGTGCTGCAGTATTGGGCCAGAGCTGCTTCCCATCAATCATAATGTGAAATACGCGGAGCGCTTTATTCAGGCTTTCGGGCTTTCTCACCACACACAAAAGACAAACAGAGGCTAATTACTACAATATATCAGTATACACTTTACTGAGAAATATGGGTTTGTGCATATCAACGGTGTGCTTGAGCATATAGTTTTGATATTAAATCTTCATTACTGCCACTCAAGTCTCAGGACCCTCGGGAACCATAAGAATATGACACCTATGCACACTTTAGAAGAATAGTTTAACTGTAGATCATGTCGATACACAACTGGCCGTGGTCCAACCACCACAATTGCTGCAAGGCTGGAATTTAGAGCTCCTCTTTTCCTGGAGTAAAAAAAACAATTCCAGTTGAACTGAAAGAGAATCACCAACACCTTTTTTTTTATTTTGTATGCCACTTTCTTAAGTTTGCATCTTCTAGCATGTATATTTGTGTTCCCTGAGGTGTGTTTGTCTGTGTGTGTGGGAGAGGGCTTGTGTTTCCTCAGTGTCTAATGCTGATACTCGCTGCTGCAGCAGTGACACTGCACTTTTGCCAGGCATGCTATGTTTGTACAGCTGCCTGCTATACACTGAGTCGATCAGGTTTTTGGGTGTAATGCCAGGTCAAAAATCCATAACACTTAGTGGGGAGAACAATTGAGTGTCATGCATTGTGTATAAAACAACTTTACGGAGTTAAATTTTGTTTATCTATTGGATTATATTTAGCTAGCAGTTTAGTAGATGTACAAAACATAAAGAAAAACATCAACATTCACCAGAGGATCCATGCTGCGGCATGTTTGGCCCTCAAACACCACTTCGTTTGACTAGTGTGATAGCTGTGTACACACCCTGGATTGTTTAATGTGGTGGTCCCAGGTGCAGTTTATTTGAATCGCCTTCACAATGAGAGCAGCCTCTGGAAAATCTGAATTCCTTCCTTTATTTTGTTTTAGAGCCAATTAGCAAACAGCTTAATGTTAATATGATTGGAAGATTACACCTTGTAAAGATCAGCGTGTTAAGTTGTCATTTGTGCATATGTGAAACTGCTAACTTTAGCATGTAGCGGTGCATCACACAGCAACAGGCATTGCTATGATCTTCTAGCATTGTTACGTCCAGCTGAACTGTTCAAATAGAACCTAACATCACTGTTGTTTTTATTCTTTTTAATTGATGTTTACAAGATTGTAACATACATGGTGAATGTGTGTCTAAATGGTTGACTTTGAGTGTAACACTAGCTTACTGTAAACCTGCACCGGTTACAACAGCTGACATCTCTCAACCATTTATCTTAAACATCCAAAAGGTCAGTCATTTTTTAGCTCCCCCACTGCTTACATTTTGACTTTTACTTGACAGCAGCGGTACACAGGATACGCTGCTTGTGCAACCAATGTGTGAGAGATCGTCAGCTACGCTAGTGATATGATGGCCAAAATAAAACTCAGGCCTCGATCTGTCAGAAAGCAGGTTCTTGTCAGTGTTGCTCAAGAGACTTGAATGTGTGGGAAATGGTTGTGAGAAAGAATGAGGCCTCCCTCACTGGGGGAGCAGCAGGGCAGGACGCAAATTTTTAGGAGCAAGCTAACATGTTGGTTTCTGAGCAATGATCGAGCTGCGACACGCCCATTACCTCACACTCATTCACATGATTCACACATGATTCATGCAGAATAAGTGCAGGACTGTACTTGAAGTTGAATATCTGTGATAAAACCTGAACAGTAAACCATTTTTTTTTTTTTTTTGGTAAATCAGATTCTGTATTGGCTAACTTAAATTTCTCTTCTTGTTATTTTGAGAAAGCATCTAATGAGAGTTCTCTTCCACAGGCCTCTGATACAGTGACTGTTGGCTCACAGGCGCTAGTGTCCAAATCCCCCATGCAGCACTTGCCATCAGGGCCACAAGCCTTAATCCAGTGGGCAAGCGATCGTGGCCACAATCCAGTCACATCTTACACCAGCACTCCCGTGGCAAACCACTTCAATATCCGACTTCGAGAGCCAGGTAAGCTGAAGAAGAATCATATCCTCCATTCATGATGAAGCATAAAACTAGCGTGCAATTGTAAAAAGTTGTAGGTGTAGTTTCCTGGATGCAAAATCAGCCTCATAAGGTTACGTGTGACTTCTAGATGTCGTGGATTCTCTGGAGAGCAAATTACCTCCCGAACTCGCCATCCTGCGTGATTCTAGTCCTCTTCCTGTAGATGGAACGCCACTGCGACGATCCGGTCTGCCGTTTCCATTCCTTACAACTGGGGGCATGCCTCTGCTGGGACACCTGCCCTACGAGTCCGATGAGCCCGAAATCGTTTTGAATGTTGACCTTAGTGTGCAGTGCAAAAAAGAAAGGATGGTGGTCAGCATTGACAAACAAAGTCTGCAGGTGAGTAAACAACCGGACATTCTCTGATTCTGCCTGGAGCCCAACAGGCTACAAATAATGGTTATTTTAAATATCGATGTATTCTATGCTTCTGATCAATGAGAAAGGCATTTTGTTGATTTACTTTTGCGTCTCTTTTCACACGACACAGAGTCAGTGTGACAAAATGTGACAAGAAGAGCGGAAAACAACAAAATGGAGCTCATCCAAAAAGACTAGCAGCGTCTAGACCAATTAAAAGGCTGAATGAATGTCTTCTGCAGCGATTACAAAATACTAGCATAAACCTCCATGACGCTGTGTTGTTTATTTTCAAAAAGCACGCACTGTGTGCTGAGGTTGTTACCAAATAATGATGCTGTCTTGGTCTAATGGTTACATGTGGATAATTATGGAGACAGTTGAGCCCACCTATCTGTTGTGTGGGGATAGCAAGTTTCAGATCTACAAAAGTGAAATGAGAAAAAGTAAATCACTGAAGCAGGCAGGGCTGTTTCAAGCATTTGGCGTCTGAACATAGGGACAGCTCAATCAGCCCACATCACAGAATGGAAACTGGCATAGGCTGTAATTGGGAGCTGGAGCTAGACCACCTTGTGGGATTTGTTTATTCCTGAGAACTCAAGGTTTTGCACAAGTACTTGGACTTTTTTCTCCTTTTTTTTTTCTTTTTACAATTCTGAAAAGTTAATAACGGAAAAGTGTTTTGATCTTCATCCATGTTTGTCTTTTTATTTCTTTTTTCTTAACTTAGGCAAGCGGGTTTACAAATGCCAGCCTCACACTTCAAGACCCACAATGCAAAGCAACAGTCAATGCCACCCACTACACTCTGGAAACTCCTTTGACTGGCTGTCAGACCACCGCATTCACCGTAGAGGATAGCACGATCTACTTCAATTCTGTGAGTATATTATGTGGTGTTACAGTATAGCTGAAATTACTTGAAAATGCCCTCTCTGTATATCAGACCTCTAGTTGCTACTATAAATACAAAGATATGATTTAATTTTAAATTGAAATAAACTACAAAACACTCTTCATTTTCTAAAAAATCCCTATAATTATCTTGCTTTATTTTAACTTGTCAACTTAATGAGAAGACAATGAGAACATTTTAACAGAAAGGCTTTCAGTCAGAAAACTTTCTTTTCTACTTGTTTAAACTTTAGAAACGATACTAGTTTTTGTTGAAATACACCCTTTACACAGTTTTAACCACGTGCCAAAGTCAAACTTTGCTTGTCTAAACAATTCCTGAGTGACTAACATCCAAATAGATGTGTGTTAGCCTAGGTTTAACATATTAAGATGTTGGGCTTGTTAAAGCATTGCTATCTATGGGCAGTACAGAGCTGTGACACTCTGAAGTCAGGGAAAGATTTACCCACTGTCAGAAAGCCTTTTTGTTTTATTTTAAGGTATTTTTAGCTTTCACTTGCAGTTTAAGTACATTCAGAGAATAAATGTATTTGATTAGTTTAGAAAAAGATCATCATTTGAGCTTAAATACTCAAACACACATACTCTTTCAAAGAAAAGAAATCACATTTTAAAAAAGATCTGGCAGAAAGCTTTGAAGGCTAATTTGATTAGATTAGTTGTTAGGGTGTTGACCATGACCAGTGCTTAAATGTCAGCACTGCCATGGGAAATGCTCACTCAGAGGCTTGACACGTGTCATAAATAAATATTTTTTTAATAAAGATGTCCACTGATAGCCATGCTCTTTTTGTGTAAGAATGGAAACTGGAAAAATATGGACAATATGTGCAGGGAAAATGATTACATTTCTGACTCATTTTCGTATCTAATTGTGATCACTTGCTTTTATGTGATTAAGACATCCCCAGTTATCTTCATTATTGTGGAATGCATTCATTCAGCATGTTTGTTCTAACAAGCAAGCATGAATCACTTCTACCCTGGCCTTTTAAAATCTTTTGTTCGGGGAAGTTTGGAAAAAACACTTTTTCTGTCCAGTGCAGATTAAAAACCCAGGCATAAGTCCAAGGTCATCTTTTGTGCTAGCATTCGGACGTGCAGACAACCTCTGACCTCTGGTCAAAGGAGATTAATTTTCATTGTCTGGGTTCCCACTCATCAAAGCTAATGTGTTTTGGCTGTTGTCCCCACATTGCTGTGATATGTTGATTTATTTCAGCAGTGGCACCAAAGGCAGGTCAGCAAACTTCAAAACAGCTCTGTTAGTGTCATTGAGACAGTCCTCTCTCTAAAGCAGCAGACTCATCTCAGGCCCTGACATGCCACTACTCCACTGAGAAATTAGAAATATGTCCTGTCTCACTGAGGCCACAGGACATTCCCAGATTTAAGCAAGAATGTTTTGCCGACCTCTCTTAACAATTCAAATCTCCGCCTGAATGAGGCAATACTAAAGGAGTAGAAAAGGGGGGAAAAAATTGGAAAAAATCTTGTGTAAACTTTCCGTCAATTGCTGATTGTTGTGCTCAGGTTTGTCAGCGTAGGCTTAGTAACAAACTTCTTTTTGATGTGCAGGTCACTGTAAGTCATGCTGAGACCAAAGATGGGAATAGCGACCAGAGAGGGCCCGAGAGAATGCTTCCCGTGAAAACGTTCGATTCATCTACCATATTGGTAAGACTCTGGAATCATTGTGGTCCTTTTTCTGTCAGATCTGCACTTCATTGCAAGGGGAAAGTTGACAAGTTGAGACTACTGATAAACTGTATCTCTATATGTGCAACTGCAGTAAATCATGCATAGTTGGAAGAAACACCAGTTTCCTACTGCCCCTTGGGCTGCTAGTAAAGACTCTTCTGGCTGCTGCAATCTCCCCATCTTTCCATGATGTCCGTTTAATGAACTTGACCTTCCATTTTCCATTTTGAAGTTTCTCCATCTTTTCTCTGCTAGCTTAGTTTCCTTTATCTCATCCAGTCCTCGTCTCCCACTTATTGTTCTTGTTTATACATATCTCTTTTGTTCCTGGTCCGTCTTAATGTGGTCAAACAGTGACACACAGTCATGTGGAGTGAGAGTGCTTAGCCGTGGAATGTAACGTCAGAGTCCTGCTGATATTTGTTTTGGCTTTGCCTTATTCTTCTAACAGTTCAACTGCACATACACAAGCCAAACTAAGAATCAGGAAACCTCAGCTCCCAGGATTGTACAGGAACCACCAAGGCAACCCGTCAACAACATGACGTTTAACATGGAGCTGTACGACTCGCTGCCTATCAACAACCCTGCACGCCAGAATTTCTTCACCGTTTCACAAAATCAGAAAGTGTTTGTGGAGGTATGTTTTGCATTTATAATACATTACCTCTCACGCCAGAATACATGTTTGGTGTAAATGAAAACTTTTGGCAGAAAACTGCAACCATCTGCCTCCATCTGAGGCTTTAGCTTTTCCAGATTGAATCTCTTCCCGAGCCCTTCGCTCAGTAAGAGCATTGTGACTGTTTCAAGCTAAAAAGCTAATAATTTCTTTCACTTCTTGCTTTTATTATATCACAGTTCTGCATGTCATCTGGCTAAAAATATCTGTTTCACTACAGTAGTTATGCTAGTCATATAAGAGATAGCAAAGACTGAAAAGTCCTTTGAAGAGGTGATGTAGGAGGACATCAGCATGAGATGCTTCACTCACAGCATGGACACAAAGCCAGTGTGCTGTAAACACAAAGTGCTCACAGAGTGTCTTTATCCTTCCCTCTTAAGTGCATTGCATTTATTTTAGCTGAGAAATAAGTAAAACATGACTAAATATTTGTTTCTCACCTTTCAGGCAGTCGTTCTTGTTTTGTTTTGCATATCTTTACACTGGCAGCAATAAATACATCGCAATATTTCTATTAGAAGACTTATTTAGTCTATTTTGGCTCAGCTTTGGGTTGCTGCTGACAGAATTATTTGGCACTTTAGTTGCCACCAGCTGCCTGCTAACTTTTGAACTTCTTTTTCTGTTGTGGTTAGTAAAAGGTAGGATTTGAATTTTATTTTTCCCGAACAGCTGCTGGTACAGCAAAAGTGAGCTGAAGCATAAAACCAAAACAACGCTCTAAAAGAAACCAGAAGCTCATTAGAGCTGAGGGTTCTCACCATGACTGTGCCCCCTTTGTCCTGCCCAGTGTTAACACGAAAATATTGATTGTTTCAGCTTTAAATTAGCATTTTAACATCTTGTAAATTATGTTTATTTGTGTTTATCGTTGTTTATTGTTGTTTAGGACTAGGCAATAAAACACAATAATAATTTGTATTTATTGTTTCTGCGATTGTCTTAAAGAAACACAAATACAAAATGACACGTTTTCATTTTGCATGTTTTGTCCAACAAGATTACTTTGCAGACTTTCTTCAGACAACA